AGACAGACAGACAGACAGACAGACAGACAGACAGACAGACAGACAGACAGACAGAGAAAAAGTGTGTATGATCACGTGAGTGAAAATGTGTGGGTATCCTGGTTTGATTCCCCTTCGATAATCATCTTTTGAAAAGCCCTTTGTGCCTGTTCCGGCTACTACTTTTTATTGATTTCCTTCTGTCGCAGCCACGCGTGACAGACCCTTCCAACGGCTAGTTCTCTTGGGAGCACTTAGCCATTTCAGGATTGTTTAACCTACGTAATTCTCAATCGTGTATAGACAGTTTATTTTTGTGAAGTTAGGGCCTAGACAGTCTTATTCACGATGTGTGTGAGGATAGCCTGAAGAGTTTCGATACGCACAATTTTGGTGAGGATAGTGTAAAGACCGTTTCAGTATTCACCACAGAATGTGTAGAATTCTGTGGTATTCACAGTATAAGTGAGAACAACGTAAAGAGTTTGGATACACGCACTTTTTGTGAGGATAGTGTAGAGACAGTTTCTGTATCCCCAGTGTGTGTGAAGATATATATAGTGTATTGGCGGGTTATGTACAACAGACGTTTGCGGGGAAAGTTGTAGTTTGAGGTGGACGCGCAGCCGGTAACTCACACACAGTGGTGGAATCAGGCGCTCGTCAATTTTGGGCATGTGGTTTTATTAGTATCACCTGAAGGTCCTTGTCTGAAAGCTGGTTTATTTGCCTTGCTTCCCATGAAATAAATATCCATTTATCTTGAATAGGACTCTAGATATTTGCGATTGAAGTAAATGAGGTACCCTGGTTTCAGTGGTGAAATTAGCGAGAAAATGGCCGCCAACGTTTGGTAACTCCAATAGCTAAATAGTCTTTGAAAACTGAAAAATGGCATAATTATTGTGTGCCTTTAATCAATGTTTTTCGACAAAATTCATATGAAATGATGAAATGAGTGTTTTTATATAGACATTAAATTGGGGGGGTTGGGGGGGGGGGGCTTCTTTCCCGAGCACTCTCACTGAGTTGTGTTCTCCCGAGTTTCGATGACGATCGTGTGCTTTTACGTCACTGGTACTGGGGTACTTTATGTTGTAATTTTTTTTTTAAAGTAGTGGTGTTTTAACATCCAGTTTTAAGTAGAGTTGCGGTTTTCACAGAATATAGATATACACGTGTGTATATATATATATATATATATATATATATATATATGCATGTATACATTTATATATATATATATATATATATATATATATATATATATATATATATATATATATATATATATATATATATATATATATATACATGTATATCGGAGTGGCTACTCGCCCGATGTCGGGTCACTAGCGTCAGGCAACTGGCCCGATGTCGGGTGACTAGCGCCAGGCTACTCTCTGGATCTAGGATTTCTGCGCATGTTCCGGGCGTACAAATTCGGTCGATTAGCCCCTGGCCTGCGGCTCCTGGCCCTTGGGGATTTCTGCGCCTATTCCGTGCTCTGGCCCGTGAGGATTTCTCCGCATGCTCCGTGTGATCAATCGCTCAAGATTCAGTCACTCACTCGGTCACTCCTTGTCCTCCATGTCAAGAGTCGGATCGGTTCTAACGTGTTTGTTTTCAGCTTCAGGCAATCGAGTCGGGCGATCGGCCCGATCTAGCCGTAGTGGGCACCCCGTATAAGACTAAGACTAGATCTAGGTGACCGGCTCCGGGTGGGCAGAAAATGCTAGCCACGCGAGGTCGCAGAAACCCCCACGGGCCAGTAGCGTCAGGCTACTCGACTCGACCGAATTCGGGCAAGTAGCACCGACCTATAGATAGATAGATAGATAGATAGATAGATAGATAGATAGATAGATAGATAGATAGATAGATAGACAGATTGTTGTTGTTGTTGTTGTTGTTGTTGTTGTTGTTGTTGTTGTTGTTGTTGTTGTTGTTGTTGTTGTTGTTATAAGTGTCACCAAGTATTCAACAGATATCGGGGATTTAAGTGTGGGTTACCGATCACTATATTACTATAGTCTGTAAACGTTTTAGACCCGGCAGACATTTCCTCTGTCCTTGAAAACGCTGCAATGTTAAGCAAAGTGACGATATTCCATCAATGATAGCTCCACTAGTTCCATTGATTGTCTGACATTGTTAACCTATGCTTTCAGAACAAAAGCTCACTGGGACAGTGCCAAGATTGGACCTCTCTTGTGTGGGCGATCAATGGCAACGCAGAACGTTCTTGTAACCTTTGATTTCACTTATAGTGCGATCAAAAATTCATGGTGCAACTTATTGTCAAATATTTCCTATCTACCGAACATAAAGTCTCCAGCTTTTGCACTAATGACTTATATTAATTTGTCTCAACGGATCAATACTATTTTTGTAAACACCTGTTGTTAGCTTTATTCTAGGAAACTCCTTAATAACTGCTTATTAAAAATCACATTGGGTGGTTTATACTCGTAGTAAACTTCTGCGTACAGCAAACTATGTAGTAGTAGTAGTAGTAGTAGTAGTAGTAGTAGTAGTAGTAGTAGTAGTAGTAGTAGTAGTAGTAGTAGTAGTAGTAGTAGTA